ACGAAGCAAAGCGATGCAGCGGCTATTGACAAGCAGCCACTTGTGTCCGTCACTACGGTAATGTTCACGAGCTATAGTTTAAGAATACGGACGATCCGTAGTCTTAAAGAGTTGGGCGGCGTTTGAGGGGTTAATTTAACATTGCGCTAGACTCGTATAATGGTCTCCAAGATCTTGGTGGAAAGTACACTACCGGTAGCGTACTAGTACTGGAAATGAAAAATCGCCGTGGTGGCACGTGCAATAGCTCTCTCTTGCTGAAATCCGTACAACACAGTACTGTATTAGAAGCAAGTACAAGGCTGTTGAACACACTACAGATCATCCAGCGATCTTCTTGCGATGACGTGGCGCTCGCATTTTTTGTCCAAACACCATCTGGCCGCCCTTTGACATCAAGTCGGAGCGTCGTCCGGTGCGCATCTTCAATATGCTTGGGCCACATGGCGCTTCGACGGAGAGTGCCAGAAGCCGATCTATTATAGATGTATTCCACTTCATCCTTCGTATACCAATACGCCGCCGGGTGGCGCGTGCTGCATAGTATGCAAAGTGGGGCTTTGGAGAGCCAGATATATGCCGCACTGGATCACACCGCGGCCCGCGACTCTGCGCACCACTTTCCTCGATTCGCCAACCATCAGCAGTTTACCTTTTGCCATGAAGTCGTCATTCTTTCTGCTTGCGCTTGCTACGTCCGCAACTGCGTCGCCGTGGTCCGAGTGGGGCGACCAAGATCTGTGGGTACTCACAACGCTTTGGCCCGCGCAGGCATGCGCGACGCAATATAATACCAGTGCTCTGTGTGCGAGCCCCACCGACTTTATGAAGTCGCATCTCGTCGCGGCCTCGCTCGTGCCGAGCTACAACTCGGGGCGCGCCCAAACCGGCATGTGCCGCTACGAGTACGGCACGTTTCTCGAGGCCAACATCAACGCTGTCGGCCAAGGACTTTTGCGCGACTACTGGCCGCACTTTGACGCGCCAAGCGTCGACACGATGTGGACCGGCGCCTTTGATAAAGGCACGCCCGAATACGAGTACACGTGCAGCGGGATGCACCAAGGCCCGTACCTTGAGAAGGTCGTCAACATGACCAAAGACTTCTGCACGCCGAGCGCAATTCGATCGCACATTGGGTCGGGCGTCGCGACACCGTCGCTGCGGGACGCGTTTGGAGGCAACGCCGTCTTGCACTGCGACGGCAAGCACCTCGCACGCGTCGTCACGTGCTGGGCCAAGCACACGCCGTCAGCCACCGAGACGGACCCGACGTATGAGCCCACGACGCGCATGGCCTGTCCGTCTGCGATCGCGAGATCCGACTCGTGCATCGACGCCGAGACGCTCATTGCGCCGTTCCCGCCCGTGTACAACTAGGCGCGAGAGGGTATTCCTCTTGGTGCTTGCGTTTTAGTGTTCCTTTGTGTATACACTTTCTACTCTTCGTATTCATCATCGTGCATCTTCTTCTCTCGACGCCACGTCCTCGACGGCGTTCGCTTGGTTACTGCACACACACTGGCTGGTGGACACGGACGGTTACGTCCTTTCTCGAACAAACGGCAACCTCGAGTCTTCTATCGTTCCAGCGCCAGCGTTCATTGGTCGCATATAAGAACTTGCCGCTACAAGACGAAGCAAACATGCAACTCGCGAGCCTCTTGGCGACTCTGAGCGCGCTCGCCGCCATCGCTGCGGCATACCCTTCCTTGCGCGCCATGCCGAACCCGTCGGCGTTTGGCGATCAAGACGTGTGGGTGTTCTCCCGCGTGTGGTACCCCGAGATCTGCGCCACGACGCCCGGGAAGGCGCTCTGTGCGACGCCGCCGAGCTACCTCGGAAACCACTTGGTCGCGGGCGACTTGATTCCAGCGTACAAGGACGGGTCGACGCAGACGGGCTTGTGCCGCTACGAGTACGGCACGTTTCGCCCCGCCAACATTGCCAAGGTTGGCCAAGACAAGCTCGCGCAGTACTGGCCCAGCCCCGAGGCCACCGACGCAAGTGCCATGTGGTCGGGCGGCTTTGACGGCAACACGCCCGAGTACGCGTGGACGTGCGGCGGCTTGCACCAAGGCGCCTACTTGCAAAAGATTGTCGACCTCACGATTACGCTCGGAACGCCGTCGATCTTGAGCGACCACGTTGGCGAAGCGGTCGACACGGCGGCTCTGCGCGAAGCGCTTACGACGGCGTCAGGCGCAGCGCCCGTCTTGATCTGCCATGGCGACGACCTCGCACGCGTCGTGACGTGCTACGGAAAGGAGAACCCCGACTTGCATTCGACGTCGGACCCGAGCTATGGACCCACGGATGCGATCGCGTGCCCGCCAGCGTGGCAGAAGCAAGACTCGTGCACGGGCAAGACAGTGCACGTGACATCGTTTTAAGCACGACGAGAAGCTGGCGGTTTTCTAACTCTAACCTCGATGTACGTATGTGTAGCGATGGAGCCATTCATCATAGTATCTTGATTGTGTTGGCGTCATAATTCTAAACCGAGATGTCAACGGCCGACTTGGTAGTAACGCAGCGCTCAGGCGGAATGCATCGGAGCTGCCAACCGCACATGGGCATGGACGTGACGTGAGTGCTTTACATCGGAGAGATGCATCCATGATGCAGGAGGACCTTGGTGTATGAAACTGAACGAGTCCTATAAAGTATATGTCGGAGGAGACTAGCGTTTAGAGTCTTTCGTGGCATGTGTGATATGTGGCAGCCGAAAATACAACATGTCTAAAGTATGCTCTACGACGACGCCGAGTGCAGCGCTTCGACATGGTGGCGGATGTGATCTTCCATGAAGGTGGCGGCAAAGTCCCACGAGTGATCATAGCCGTCCTATTTGATGATTTTACACAACGAGGCAGGAACTCTTCCAAGGTACCTGGGCTCGAAAGGTGAGGTGTTGGCCGACTTGGTTGCACGCCGCCTACACCCAAAGGTCATCTTCCGCACTGGGCTTGAATCGCTGATAGACCTCGAATGCCTCGGGATGCAACTGGACGTCGTCGTGCCAGAACTCGTCGTCCGCACCAAGGTCGATCAAAATGTTGTATTTTGAGACGGGACCTTTGGAGAGCATGAGTTCGGTCGCATCCCACGCCTAACAAACCGTCGCCAGTGCGAATCTCATAAAGAAAAAAAGACCTGCCACGCTGCCACGTCATCGCCCAGATACATTTGAAGCGCCTTGGCACCGTACGAGCTTCGGATCGTGCTGCTAGCGGGCGCGAGCGCCGACACCGAGTGATACAATTCCTACAAATATCAGTTCGTTCTCGTTTTACGTTGCATGACAGGAGGTACATACAGGGTTCTTGAGCGCCAGCATGAGCGCGCCGTGACCGCCCATCGAGTGGCCCATGATCGAGTACTTGTCCTTTGCAATGGGCAGCTGCGCGTTCAGTAGCGTCGGCAGCTCCTTGGTGATGTACGAGTACATTTGGTAGTTGTCGGCCCAGCGCGGCTCGGTTGCATCTACGTACCAGCTCGCACCTACGCCGCTCGACTTGAAGACATATGCGGGAAACTGTTGCAAGAAAACCTGGGC